CGCCGAAGAGGAGAGGGAGTGTGCCAGATCCTCTTGCCATTGATGGCGGATTCCCTTCCAAACAGCCCCTGTGAAATCACTGTGGACCAGGGCAAGAGGGGTAATAGTAGGAAGTGTGTGCGCGAGGGAGGCCGCCCGATCTGCCACTTCATTGCCCTGGGTTCCAACATGGGCCTAACCTCCATAGTGGGAAAATTTATGGAATCAATAATTGCTGAGGCAGTTCGTAGCCACCTTGAAAAGCATAAATTAATCAACGAATCTCAGCATGGTTTTACAAAGGGGTGTTCCTGCCTTACAAATTTATTAGCATATAAATCTATAGGGGAAGGAAGGCGAGGTAGGGGTCGTCCTCGAAAGGGTTGGAGAGAGGGGGTAAAGGAGGTTTTGTGGCCAAAGGGCTTGGACTTCCAGCAAGCGTGCGTGAGCGTGTTAGATAGGAGTGAATGGAGACGAATGGTACTTGGGACCTGACGATCTGTTGGGGAGTGTGAGCAGGGTAATATTTATTGAAGGGATTCAGGGAAACCGGTTATTTTCATATAGTCGGACTTGAGTCCTGGAATTGGGAAGTACAATGCCTGCACTTTAAAGGAGGGGTTTGGGATATTGGCAGTTTGGAGGGATATGTTGTGTATCTTTATACGTATATGCTTCTAAACTGGTGTATTCTGAGCACCTCTGCAAAAACAGTGATTATGTGTGAGTGTGGTGAAAGTGTTGAATGATGATGAAAGCATTTTCTTTTTGGGGTTTTTCTTTCTTTTTTGGGTCGCCCTGCCTCGGTGGGAGACGGCAGACTTGTTGAAAAAAAAAAAAAAATTTGAGGAGGTAGATCATGGTAATGAATATGATATTGTGTATATGGACTTCAGTAAGACTTTTGACAGGGTCCCACATCAGAGACTATTGAGGAAAATTAAGGCACATGGAATAGGAGAAATTTTTTCCTGGATAGAGGCATGGTTGACAAATAGGCAGCAGAGAGTTTGCATAAATGGGGAGAAATCAGAGTAGGGAAGCGTCACGAGCGGTGTTCCACAGGGGTCAGTGTTGGGCCCCCTGCTGTTCACAATCTACATAAACGACATAGATGAGGGCATAAAGAGCGACATCAGCAAGTTTGCCGATGACACCAAAATAGGCCATCGAATTCATTCTGACGAGGACATTAGAGCACTCCAGGAAGATTTGAATAGACTGATGCAGTGGTCGGAGAAGTGGCAGATGCAGTTTAATATAGACAAATGCAAAGTTCTAAATGTTGGACAGGACAATAACCATGCCACATATAAACTAAATAATGTAGATCTTAATATTATGGATTGTGAAAAAGATCTAGGAGTTCTGGTTAGCAGTAATCTGAAACCAAGACAACAGTGCATAAGTGTTCGCAATAAAGCTAATAGAATCCTTGGCTTCATATCAAGAAGCATAAATAATAGGAGTCCTCAGGTTGTTCTTCAACTCTATACATCCTTGGTTAGGCCTCATTTAGATTATGCTGCACAGTTTTGGTCACCGTATTACAGAATGGATATAAATGCTCTGGAAAATGTACAAAAGAGGATGACAAAGTTGATCCCATATATCAGAAACCTTCCCTAAGAGGATAGACTAAGGGCCCTGAATCTGCACTCTCTAGAAAGACGTAGAATTAGGGGGGGATATGATTGAGGTGTATAAATGGAAGACAGGAATAAATAAAGGGGATGTAAATGGTGTGCTGAAAATATCTAGCCTAGACAGGACTCGCAGCAATGGTTTTAAGTTGGAAAAATTCAGATTCAGGAAGGATATAGGAAAGTACTGGTTTGGTAATAGAGTTGTGGATGAGTGGAACAAACTCCCAAGTACAGTTATAGAGGCCAGAATGTTGTGTAGCTTTAAAAATAGGTTGGATAAATACATGAGTGGATGTGGGTGGGTGAGTTGGACCTGATAGCTTGTGCTACCAGGTCGGTTGCCGTGTTCCTCCCTTAAGTCAATGTGACCTGACCTGTCTAGGTTGGGTGCATTGGCTTAAGCCGGTAGGAGACTTGAACCTTCCTCGCATGGGCCAGTAGGCCTGCTGCAGTGTTCCTTCGTTCTTATGTTCTTATGTGTCTGACAAACGAGGACACGCAGTGACTGAACGGACAGAGGACAAAAGTGCCAAGGAGGATTGGTAATCAGAGAAGAGAGGCTGGAGTTGAGTACCATCAATACCCCGACTCTCCCTCAGATGGTCAGATGGACACACATTAAACAAAAGTGTTATGTATAAAGGGGAGTGACATAATGTTTTCCCTCCGCTCGGCACACCTCCATAGTATATAAACAAAATGTTTATATGTTATGTAACGTGTTTCTTATATAATTTTGAAGAAAATATCATAGATGGATTAATGAAAATGTCTATATTGATGTAAAATTAGACATTTAATGTGCCCAAGAGTGATTGTTATTACATAATAGAGAGATGTGCTCATGGAGAATTTGAACAAACCGGGTGGCCCGCACCGTATTTGAAAGACCACTTGCCGTATAGAAAGTTTTGGTCATTATTTGAGATCACCGTATTAGTGGAACGCCATAAGGCAAAACGACGAAAAGCGGGGCCCTACTGTATATGACTGGTGATAACTGTAGAAAACTCCTATTCATATGCCTTCACTCATAAATAGCATCACTCGTTATCAAAAGGGTGCGTTGCCCCGAGCCTGAGTGTGCCGCCATGAGCCAGGGTGTTGCCATGAGGTTGGATGTGTTGCTCTGAGCCAGGGTGTGTTGCCGTGAGCCTGGGTGTGCTTCAGTGTTCTGTGTTGCTGTTATGCAAGCTAGTGCATTAATGTGAAGAGAATTTGTCTATAACATAAGGTGTCTGTATTGCACAAAAAGTGCTCCAGAAGTGTATATACACTGTAATGTCAAGTGTTTTGGGTGGATACATAATAGATGGTCAGATGGATACACATTAAACAGCCAGTTAGACGATCAGCTGGGAGTGACTAGTGACACTCACTCCCAGTTAATCATCTAATACATATCCTTCTGACCATCTATTATGTTTCCACCGAAAATACTAATGGTATGTACGTATACATTTATTAAGCATTTTGCCCACTATACAAACACCTTACATTATATAAAAATTATCTTCACATTAATGCAGTAGTCTACATAAGTTGCCATGACCCAGGGTGTGTTGTCGGTGATTCAGTCTGTTTACATATTTGCGCCCTCTGCACATATGTATTCTGGCAGTTTTCCAAAGTTTCAAATTCACTCGCTGCGTTTAACCCTTTGACTGTCGCGGCCGTATATATACGTCTTACGAGGTACCGTGTTTGACGTATATATACTCATAAATTCTAGCAGCTTCAAATCAAGCAGGAGAAAGCTGGTAGGCCCACATGTGAGAGAATGGGTCTGTGTGGTCAGTGTGCACCATATAAAAAAAATCCTGGAGCACGCAGTGTATTATGAGAAAAAAAAAACTCGAGACCATTTTTTTTAATTAAAATGCCGACTTTGTGGTCTATTTTCGTGTAGTATTTATGGTTGTATTCTCATTTTCTTAGTCTCATTTGATAGAATGGAAAACATATTATAGAAGTAGAGGTGATTTTGATTGATTTTACTATAAAAAGAACCTGGAAATGGAGCTCAAAGTAGGGAAAATGTTTGATTTTTGCCAATGTTCAAAAGTAAACAAATGATGTCATTGTCCAATAAATGTCCAACTAGCCATTCTAATATGCAGTCATGAATGGGTTGATGTTATTTATACAATTATTACAGTATTGCAGTAGTCTGCATAATAGTAAGTCTTCTATTTTTTGTTTGAATAAAAATTCAAAATAGAAAGCAAGAGTAATATCAGAGGGGCCTGGAGACATGACTGATGAACAAAGAAAATGTTATTTTAGAGCCAGGAATGTCTGCATTGTTCATTCTGGACCTTATTTTGAAATTGTCATATTTTTTAATTTTCGTGAAATTGGCCAAATTGCAAATTTCTGACCACATTATTGGGTAGTTGAAATCGGTAAATGGGCAGTTTCTTGTACTCAATCGATAGAAAAAATGGAGTTCTAAAGAAATAGCTATGAGTTTGGTCGACTGGAACAATGGAATTAGCCGAAAATATGGCTCAAAGTGGGCGAAATCGCCGATTTGTAAATATCGCCGAGGTCGCTAACTTCGCGAGAGCATAATTCCGTCAGTTTTCCATCAAATTTCGTTTTTTTTGGTGTCATTACAATCGGGAAAAGATTCTCTATCATTTCATAAGAAAAAATTATTTTTTTATTTTTTTGAAATTTTGCGACACCAGGAGACACCTCAGGATTGGGGGTTGCGACAGTCAAAGGGTTAAGCTAAGGACAAAAATATTTTAAGGTAAGTAATGTATGCACCGTACATTTTTACTTTTATATTGTTTTTTATGCCTAGTTCTGTTGCTTACTTAATATATGATAGTGTGAACATGTTATCAGGCTTATATATTCATTTGGAAGTGAAAAAAGACTTCTACTTTTGGGCAATTTTTCCTTTATGGCAGTAACCTGGAACCTAACCCACCACATAAGTGGGAGCTTCCTGTTTGGAAAATGGATTACATCACTGTGCTGTCATATGGAAAACAAAGGAAGTCAATAAATAGCAAATTTTGTCTGTGGCAACCCAACTCTAACATGGGTTTTGTTGAGATACAATTTTTTTTTTTTCAACAAGTCGGCCGTCTCCCACCGAGGCAGGGTGACCCAAAAAAGAAAGAAAATCCCCAAAAAGAAAATACTTTCATCATCATTCAACACTTTCACCACACTCGCACATTATCACTGTTTTTGCAGAGGTGCTCAGAATACAACAGCTTAGAAGCATATATGTATAAAGATACACATCATATCCCTCCAAACTGTATCAGTATTAAAATTTGAAAGTCTCAAAAAATTAATTTCACCTTGAATAAGTGCTTTACATTTTTATTGATATGTATTAGTGTATTTTTGCAGAACAGGAAGTGACCACATTCGAGAGAAGGATGGCATATGGGCAGTCTTAGCATGGCTATCAATTTTAGCTGGTCGTAATATGTCAGTAGAGCAGGTGCTGCACAGTCACTGGGAAACATATGGAAGGAACTTTTTCACCAGGTATGTGGTGTCTATGAATATATATACTAACCCAGTTATTTAAAAATTTAGGCAAATTTAGAAAGCAAATATTATTTCAAACTTTTAGATACTTTGCTCTATGACCCTTGTAGGTTTAGCACTTCTTTTACATTATAATAATAATAATACATTATATCTGAAGTAATATGAAGACTATATTAAGATCACTTTGCATTTTTAGTTCTGTTACCTTTATTAAATAACCTTTGCTTCTAGTAATGAGATTTACTGTACGTTGCTAATAACTGATCTGCTCGCTTAAACGTAAACAGATCATTATTTCATTACATGGTGGCTAACAGCCTATTGATATGTTGTCATTGATATATAAATAGGCTCCTTAATGGAACATACACAAATGCAGTATAATGAGATCCTTTGACAATGCTTCGCCAACACAGTAATCTTTTATAAAATCTCTTTCCATCATGTCTATATTCATAATATTTGTCTCAAGGCTTCTTGATGTTTGTAGATATTAAACTTCATGTTATACTCGTGAATGTTGGTCAAAATAGCAAATATGATGATCATACTAATTTTTTAAATTATTTTATGGTTGCAGTATTTTCATTTTTCCTTTGTAATTTTGTTAAATGCTATATTGTCTAGTATTATGCAAGTGATGTTAAAGAATATATACTAATGTTGACAGGTATGATTATGAGAATTGCGAGAGTGACCCATGCAATAAAATGATGTCTGTTTTGGATGCCATGAGTGGTGATGCATCCATGGTGGGTAAACAGCTCTCTCATGGAGAAAAAACTTATACCATTGCCAAAATTGACAACTTTGAGTACCAGGACCCCATTGATGGTGCTGTAGCAAAGAAACAGGTCAGTTAAAAATTGTTAATCCAAATTTGTGAGGTTGTGTATGTTATATTAAGAACTTTTATGTAGTAATGAGATTCATATAACTTGTTTAATTGCCATAATATTTTTCCGCTTGTAAAACTACCAGGGTGTCCGTATCCTGATGAGTGATGGGTCTCGAGTTGTGTTCAGACTGAGTGGCACTGGCAGCTCTGGTGCTACAGTTCGTATGTACATTGAAAGTTATGAGTCCGACTCCTCTACATATACTAAAGATGCACAGGTGAGTGTTGGCAATGCTTGTTATATTCCTTGGTACCATTAAAATCTAAGGGGAAGCTTTATAATAACCAGTGGAACCTCGGTTTTCATGATTAATTCATTTCAGAGTCTGACAAAAACCAAATTTGACAAAAACTGAAGATATTATTCCCCATAAGAAATAATGTAAATCCAATTAATCCGTTCCAGACACCCACAAATATTAACAAAAAATACATTTTATAGAGAATAACTATAGTTTTACATACAGAAAACTATGAGAAATAAATATAAATGACTACTGAAATGGGATAAATGAGCATTTAACATCACTTTTACCTCTATTGAAGACACTTGTTGGTGTATGGAAGATGGCGAGGAGGGGAGAGGTTATTGTTTAGAAGGGGAATCCCCCTCCATAAGGACTTCAGGTATCAAGGCCCTATCCAGGGTTACTTCCCTTCTTTGTCTTTTACTGGCACTGGGACCAGCTTGAGTCACTGGACCCCTGTTGCACAAAAAATTTATCCAGAGAGGTCTGTTTCTGGCATCTCTTTAACATTTGCCTAAAATGGAACAAGGCATTGTCATTGAACATGGTGCAGACACTGCTTGCAATAGCTTTGTTAGGGTGATATCTCCCCACAGAGCTTTGTAACTCATTCCACTTTGCACACCTCTTTAATCACTGAAGAAGGCGCATTCTCCCCACTCTCTTCCTCCTCCTGTGAAGCAATTTCCTCAGGTGTGGTTTGTTGCTGTTCCAGTTGAAGGTCTTACAGCTCTTCACTGTGGTCGTCCACCAACTTTTCCACATCCTGGCCACTCGCATCTAACCCCATGGACCTTCCCAAAGACACAATAGATTCCACAATAGACATAGGGTTATCAGGGTCAGCCTCAAAACCTTCAAAATCCTTCTCAAGGACACATGGTGGCTTATTTAGCAGTCACACTCGATAAGCAAGCACAAAACACAGTGGATTATTACAAAATGTTATCCAAACATGCGAGGTAATGCTCACTCAACGAGCAACAAAGCCAGAATGTGTGAGATGTTTTGTGTGGGCATGGGCAGGCAGATGCGTTTGGTACAGTGGACCATTGTCCACTCTACAAAAACTGAGCAGATGTACGAAAACTTGGACAAAATTTAAACGAAAAGTTGCCGAAAACCAAATCCTACGGAAACCAGGGCACACGGACACAGAGGTTCCACTGTGTATATTTTTTTTTTTTTTTATTTTTTTTTTAACACTTTGGCCATCTCCCACTGAGGCATGGTGACCCATAAAGAAAGAAAAAAAAAATTATCATTCAACACTTTCACCATCACTCATACATAATCATGATATAGTATTTTTAAATGTGATGATCAGAAAAGACAAATTTGATTAAGTAAAAAAGCATACAAGAGGTCATCATGTATTATAATCTAAAAAGCACTAAACCAACAAGGGTCATACAACACAGATGAAAGAGTGGAAGTAACCTGTTCAGTCATTGAAAAATTTTTAATATTCTGGTATGTTACTGACCCATTGTAAGGCCTTATATTTAATAGTTTTTTATAAATTCTTGAGAATCCAGTTATTATTCTTACTTAAAAATGATTGTGAATGATTGGGAAACAAACTCCCAGGTGTAGAACTGCATCTATTGTTTTAACCCTTAAACGGTCCAAACGTATATATACGTTATCTCGGGTAGCTCCCCAAATTTTTTGAGGGAAATTTTTTTTTTTAATAGGAAAAAAGAGCATGTGGTACCCAGGCATCCCAATTATTTTTTTCATATGGTGCACAGTGAGTGTGCACACCTATTCTCGCATGTCTAGGCAACTCAGGCTTATCATGCCAATGTTGAATGAATGACAAAGGAAACATATATAAACGTTTGGGATACTGCGCGAGAGAACGTATATATACGTTTGGACCATTTAAGGGTTAAAGTTGTTTGAGTATCATTCTGAAAAATGTAAAGAAAATTGCCAAGTTAGCAAATGAATTGAAATGTTATATACAAAGTTCAATTCCTCTTTTCCACAGGAAGTCTTGAAACCTCTGGTTGAAATTGCTCTGCAGTTATCAAAACTTTCAGAATACACAGGACGCCAGCAACCTACTGTTATCACGTAGTTAGCTAGCTCTTTCCTATTGATTTCATTAAAACAGTATCCTGAATGGGTGTGCAGTATGTTCATCCTTAATATATTTGTTTGGATTACTAATTGTTTAACCTTTGGATAAGAAAAACAGTAAATCTTGAATAAAATATAATTATTACAAAGTCCCAATTATTTTTTACATCAGTATCTTTAGAAGGCATGCCTTCAGCTGGATTTTTTTTTTTTCCAAAAAACTATGGGACAACTTTTTTGGGCTACTCATGATGAGAAAAGTACAATAAACCCTCTACTAAACAGAGTGGACAGACATTAATGGCTCTTGTAGTGGATAGACTAATTTGTTTTTCTGTGATCATAACACTTCCATTATCAATAGACCATACCTTATTATCAAGCCAATCCAGTGGAGTTATCAGTGTTTTTGAAATTGTTTATTAAATGGTTTATTATAGTGCTAAATTTAAGAGGGTCATTGTAGTGCAAAGTAATGAATATTCGAGGTGCAATATCAGAAAATTACATGAAGGATAAGCAAATAATGTAAACATTAACCAAAGAAATGATTATTACACTTGCATCAATGAAACACACTTCCATGGTGTCAGTAAAAAGAGTATTTAATGCTAGTCAAGCCAGACTGAAATACAGCTTTAAGTATTCTCCTTAATGTAGATCATTGTATCTTGACCTGCAAGGATTCTGACCTAACCACTCTCTCCTTGGATTGACCCTAATTACATCTGATTCCCCTAGGTGTTACCACCACAACAGTTTAGCACTAGAATGAGAAGGCAATAAAATTTGATCCGAGGAAAGAGAAGTTAGGTTAAATTACTTGAATAAAAAAGCCCTTTCACTGGCCTCAAGGAACCTTTAGGTCAATTATACAGCAATTTGTACATTACTCTTGGTTCATATTTGTATTACTTCACAGTACATTATTAATAAACTTCACCCATATTAATTTTTTGTAGCCATTTAAATAAACAAGGAAAGTGCTAAACTTAGTCTGGAAGTTTTGTAGGGATGCTGAAGCACCTAATATATTTAAATCTAGAATTACAATTCCCAGCACAGGAGGGGGTTCTTGATCCAAGGACTTGGTAGAAGAATAAAATGAAAATGGGGGAAAAAAATTATATTTTGTTAAATGGGTTTTTAATTCATGTTGGTTATTTTAAGTTATTAATGTTGAAAAACTACCCAAGGAATTGGATCAGGCTACTTTGATCAAACCTGATTACTTCCAATTATCCCTTATGCTCTGTAACCCCTATGAATTAAAATGCGATTTTGCAGGACTCCTTTTATTATTATAATCAAAAAGAAGCGCTAAGCCACAAGGGCTATACAGCACGACTCCTTTTAACATGAACCATAAATTCTGAATTCATTTATATTTATAAATAGAAATGCAACTAAGCAAGTTTACAGCGTGTTTTGTTCACTACCAATTTTTTTTTTTTTTTTATATTAAATAACATTATGATACAATAAATTGTCCAAAAACTGTGTAAACAAATATTGTATTTTCTTTACTTCTGTAATTGTAAATGAATCTACTTCCCCCCCCACTGTATTTTAGTACAAGAATATAAAGACAAAATAAATATGTATGTGAAATTTTAGAGCAATTAATCTTTTAGCTGTTGGCATTTCCATAAGTCAGTTGTATTTTTCATAATTGAAATAACTATCCAAAATAAATTGCCTATGTAATTGTAACTCATCCCTTCAAATTTTTTAGTTTTTTATAAGAGTATTACTCAATTGACTTCATCTCATGAATGGTCCTTCCATGCCAGTAGTGAAGGGCCATGCTCTTGCTCTTCCTTGGATCAAACATATTTCCCTTGGTGCCATTTGACCCCTAAGAGTTTAGCGGTCTTCATATAAATAAAATATTCATGGATAAACCTGTATGGGTTATTGTCTGAAGAATGGAAAGATAATCATACTTGATCTAGTGGGAGGATATATCCAGTTCCTTTCATCAACATTAAACTCTTGATCCAAAGAACTGGTGCTACCCTCCCTATAACTGGATTTAATCTGTCTCCCATTCTTCTAGGACTTGTATGATCCCTCCAGACTTAGCAGTTCCCCATGAAATCAATAAGCATCACCTCAAGGTGATGCTTAGAGCTGGATTTTTTTTTTTTCAATTCTCATATTACTTGTAACCTGGTCATTTACATTTTCAATGATAAACGTAAGATAACAGAATTATATTATTACAATCAAAACTAAGCACTAAACCATAAAGAATTATATTCAAATAAAGAACTAAATACCTAAGGACCACTTGGAACAACACAACAAAGGTGAGAGATTATGTTGATAAATATTTTTTGTAGTTTTTCCTTATTACTACTACATATCACTCCTAATTATATTTACCTTTGGAAAATACATGTTATTTATAAAGCAGCCCAAATATCAAACATTCACCAGGACTTTTTCAGCCTTTAACTTAAATGCTAATTATGCTACTTAGTTTCTCTATTTGTTATAAAAATGAATATTAAAGAATTAAGTGGCAAATTACTTAGTTTCATTATATCATGGAATTACTCGGATAACTACAATCGAGTCTGTCCCAGATTTCCGCTTGGCCGACTTCATGGGACTGAGAAATTACCAGGGTGGGTTAATTGGGAAGACCTGACTATGGGTCAGGTAGGTGGTGTTGGTTGCCAATATGACATGTTTCAGAGCAAAGTGCTAGCTGCCCAGGCAACTTTTGTTCTAAGAAGGGAAATTAGATATAACAAAAATATTTCACTGGTCAAAAGAGAGGCACATATAGGCATATCAAAAGAGGGGGTTGGCAGTTAAGAAATCAATATATTTAATTAAAAAGATATAAAATAAAAAAAAAAGGAACAAGAAAAGCAAAAAGGGATTATGAGGCTACAGTCGCGAGGGATTCGAAGACTAACCCAAAAGGTTCTTTCAGGTATACAGAAGTAAAATTAGGGACAAGATAGGCCCACCCAAACTCAGGTCAGATCACTGACAGTGATAAGGAAATGCATGAACTCTTCAACACCTACTTCCTCTGTTTTTTACTCAGGAAGATAATAGCGAAATTCCAGAAATAATAAATTATGTAGAACAAGACTATAATAAACTATGCACTATTGGGGTAACTAGTGACATGGTCCTCGGACAATTAGAGAAATTAAAGCCTAACAAATCCCCAGGCCATGATGAACTGTTTGCGAGGGTTTTAAAGGAATGTAAAGAGGAACTCAGCACACCTTTGGCTAATCTTTTCAATACAGTAGACTGTCATTTAGCAAGAGTTTATTTGGCATGACTGAAGAATTGCGGCACAATTTTATGTAACGTATAATTAATTTAACATGATTCTCTTTTGCTCAAGTGGCCGCCTTGTTGTGGAGCAGCCAGGGAGCCCTCCCTCCCGCCATCCCCTGCCACTCCCCGACACCACCCCAGGATTTGTAATTCATACGTGTTCAGTCTTTCTCTGCTACAAGGCAGCTGTATTTGTGAATTGTGTTATGATATTTTAATTATTATATCTTGTATCTGCCAAGCAATCATGACACTCTGTAGCCATACCAGTGTTGCTGAAAGTGGCACGAAAAAGTATAAACATTTAAGTCTTAGAATTAACAAAGAAACAAAGGTATTAGACAAGAGATAGCCTGTAGCCATAATGAAGTGTTAATTTGTATACAGAAAAACATGAGTTTGTGTGACTGACTGACTGACTTAACTGACTGAATGACCTAAAGTTAAAGTTAGACACTCCAATACAACCATTGACTTCAGTACCATCCACCTCAGCCCAGTAGGGCCACAACATAACTCTCCACTCTCTTCACAATCATCCACAAACACCAGCACCCACAATTTAAGGTAAGAAATACTATTATTTCTGTTACATTTGTAGTCTTAAGCAGTAAAAACAACATAATACATCACAACAATGAACTACAACTACATATTCACTTTTATTTTTGTAAGATGTGGAGGCCTAAAAAAAATTTCTTTTTTTTCTGGGGGGGGGGGGGCTCTGAGGAATGTAACTCTATTTTTCCAATAAGCTCTTCAGTTCATCTAACATGATTTTACCTAACACGGCATTTTCAGGAGCGTAACTACCGTGCTAGATGACGGTCTACTGTACATCACTACAAACTGGCATAGTGCCAGACAAGTGGAAAATGGCAAATGTAATACCTATTTATAAGGCAGGTGACAGGCCCTTAGCTTCGAACTATAGACCAATAACCCTTACCTCCATAGTTAGAAAATTTATGGAATCAATAACTGCCAAAGCAATTCGTAGCCATCTTGAAAGGCATGAATTGATTAATGAATCTCAGCACAGTTTTACAAAGGGGCATTCCTGTCTTACGAATTTCCTAACTTTCTTCACTAAGGTATTTGAGGAGGTAGATCATGGTATTGAATATGATACTGTATATATGGACTTTAGTAAGGCTTTCGATAGAGTTCCACATCAGAGGCTATTGAGGAAACTTAAGGCACACGAAATAAGAGGAGAAATTTTTTCCTGGGTAGAGGCATGGTTGACAAATAGGCAGCAGTGTGTTAGTATAAATAGGGAGACATCAGAATGGGAGCACATCACAAGCGATGTTCCACAGGGGTCAATGTTGGGCCCCTTGCTGTTCACAATTTACACAAACGACATAGATGAGGGAATTAATAGTGACATAGGCATATTTGCTGATGACAGGAAAACAGGACGTCCAATTCATTCTAATGAGCACATTAGAGCACTCCAGGACAATTTGAATAGACTGATGCAGTGGTCAGAGAAGTGGCAGATGCAGTTTAATATAGACAGATGCAAAGTTCTAAATTTTGGACAGGAAACTAACCATGCCACATATAAACTAAATAATGAATATCTTAATATTATGGATTGCAAAAAGGATTTAGGAGTTCTGGTTAGCAGTAATCTGAAATCAAGACAACAGTGTATAAGTGTTCACAATAAAGCTAACAGAATCTTTGGCTTCATATCAAGAACTACAAATACTAGAAGTCCTCAGGTTGTTCTTTAACTCTACAGATCTTTGGTTAGGCTTATTTAGATTATGCTGCACAGTTCTGGTCACCTTATTACAGAATGGATATAAATGCACTGGAAAATGTACAAAGAAGGATGACAAAGTTGATCCCATGTATCAGAAATCTTCCTTATGAGGATAGACTGAGGGCCCTGAATCTGCACTCTAGAAAGGCGTAGAATTAGGGGGATATGACTGAAGTGTATAAATGGAAAACAAGAATTAATAGAGGGGATGTAAATAGCTTGCTAAAAATATCCAGCATAGACAGGCCTCGCAGCAATGGTTTTAAGTTGGAAAAATTCGGATTCAGGAAGCATATAAAAAAGCACTGGTTTAGTAATAGAGTTGTGGATGAGCGGAACAAACTCCCGAGTACAGTGGACCCCCGCATAGCGAACTTAATCCGTGCAAGAGGGCTGGTCGTTATGCGAAATGTTCGCTATGCGAATTAATTTTCCCCATAAGAAATAATGGAAATAAAATTAATCCGTGCAAGACACCCAAAAGTATGAAAAAAAAATTTTTTTACCACAAAAAAATGTTAATTTTAGTACACACAAACTGAAAAAGGCATGCACAATTACATGACACTTACTTTTATTGAAGATCTGGTGATGATTGATGGGATGGGAGGAGGGGAGAGAGAGTGTTAGTGTTTAGAAGGGGAATCCCCTTCCATTAACACTTGAGGAGGCAAGTCCTTTTCCGGGGTTACTTCCCTTCTTCTTTTAATGCCACTAGGACCAGCTTCAGAGTCACTGGACTTCTTTCTGTCCATAGAGCTCTGTACCTCCCGTTCCTTTACGATTTGTCTAAAATGGGCCATAACATTGTCATTGAAATAGTCACCAGCACGCCTTGCAACAGCTGTGTCAGGGTGATTTTCATCCATAAAGGTTTGCAGTTCAACCCACTGTGCACACATTTCCTTAATTTTTGAAGTAGGCACAATGGATTCCACAACTGGCATAGGCTTCTCAGGGTTAGCCCCAAACCCTTCAAAATCTTTCTTAATTTCCATACTAATTCTCACCCTTTTTACCACAGGGTTGGCACTAGAAGCTTTCTTGGGGCCCATGGTCACTTATTTTCAACAAACAGAACCGAAAACACTGTAATAATACGAAATATTCCGAGTGTATGCTTGAATGTTACCGCGGAGGCTAGCTGGTAAACAATGGGACAGGCGGCACATGTGAGGCTGGCTGAGGCCGCACATTGGACGCGTCTCGGACGAAGTTCGCTGAGCGGGTTTTTGTCTACTATGCGGGGCAAAATTTTAGCGATCAAAGTGTTCGCTATGCGGAATGTTCGCTATGCAAGGCGTTCGCTATGCGGGGGTCCACTGTACTGTCATAGAAGTTAAGATGTTGTGTAGTTTTAAAAATAGGTTGGATAAATACATGAATGGGTGTGGGTGGGTGTGAGTTGGACCTGACTAGCTTATGCTACTAGGTCAGATGCTGTGCCCCTCCCTTAAATGAATGTGACTGACCTGACTAGGTTAAGGCCTGCATGGGCCAGTAGGCCTTCTGCAGTGTTCCTTCTTTCTTATGTTCTTATTAACTTAATTACTACAAATCACATTATTATAATCAGAACCAAGTGCTAAACCACTATAAATCACAAACTGCAATTTTATGCATTCCACAAATGCAGTGAAAACTAGCAAGGATAGATACATAATTACCCTGAAAAATTATAACACACCCAAAGTAACTTGGTGGGTAGTGATTTTGAACATTTGTGTAAAGAAAAATGTAAATAGTCTTTGTAATTATCATACATCTTTTAAAGGAAATCTTTATGCATTTTCTGTTGTTAGAAATGAACAACTAACTTGCACTGTGACAATTCAATAGTAGTACTTCAATCTAATCAAAGAAAATCAAGATGTGGATAATATACTCATGAGGCATCAACTGAGAAGGTACAAGTGAGGCACTACTTTATCTTTAAACCTCTTTTTCCCAGATGTTTTCTTTACCTGTGCATATGCCTTGCCTCAAAATGTGAACTCAGGAAAAACTGGGCAATATATATAAGAATGAACATACGAGATAAACAATGACTAGAGGTTTGCTAATACGTACTGTAGCCTATTTTAATGTTCAACAGGAAATATATTAACAGCAGTATTCTAGTGCATTACTTTGCACGCTGTACTAATGTTTCAATATCATTATTTGGTCGAAGCATTGATAAACTCAAACAGTATAAATGTACATAGCCATCATACTTGTTCAGATGTGACTGTGAAGCAAATCTACGACATGAGACTGTTAAGGGTTGCAGCAACTGCTCACTGGCACAAAGTGCATTAAATACTTTGGAGTCCTTAAATGAGTGGAAATTGCCTAATTCATGATTGCTTTTCTTTGCCAAGTAGGTTAACTGATGACACCCTGAAATAACATGCTGGCTTAATGATGTATACTGCTGACGTGTTAACTGCAAAAGAATTTTTACTTGGTCAATAGAATTTAGGTAGAGTAAAGCATTTGCTGTGCCATCATCAATAAGCACTTGAGCACTAGCAGTAAGCTTGACTGAGGGTTGTGCATTACATCCAACGTAAGCACACGATCCACTAACTATTTCTGAATCGCAAAAGCAGCATACGGCTTTGATAGTAACTTTCATAATCCGTCGAACAGTGGCAAAGCTAAGAAATGCTCCATGGTTGGGTATATTTTCAAGATAACTGTGTTTTAGTTTTCTCAAATAAGACTGAGTAATGGGTATCTTCAGATCAAGTAGGGATACTTTAAAAACTAAAAACATTTTTCCACGGGAAATTAAAATTTTTTTTCCTTTGAAAAGTGTTTTTCTCACACAAAACAGGTTAATTGCCGGAACTTTCCTAAAGGGTAATGTGGCACACTTTTTATTAGGGGAATTTGGGTTTATACCAGCCATACCCCCTTTAATTTGTTTTTCTTGAGTTTTTAAGGGAAAAATTCTAATGGTTTTAAATTCCCTTTTAAAAAACCCAATTTTGGGTTTTATTGGAGACTTCTAAAAAAAACAGGTTTAAACCAGTAATTTCTAAAGAAATTTGGGAGACATATGTGCCTTTTCCTTTTATAACCCCAAACAACAGAAACAAGGTTTTCATGAAATTTTGGTCCAGTATTTGAGTTACCAAGTTCACCGGTAATTTTTTTCGGGTTTATGGTACTTGCTACAGAAGTTTTTCGGGAATAAAAAACGCTTTCCCTTTTGGGCCAAAGTATCTTTAAAGGGGGGTTTTAGCAGAGCAAGTGAATGGCATTTTTTCTTTTTAAAAACCAAAACATTTAATGAAGGGGTATCTTGAAATTTTACATCCATGTCCTTAAACAATACATGAATTAAATTTAAAGCAATTTTCACCAAAAAATCTGGGCAAAAAGTTTTGCCCCCTTTTTTTTAAACCCAATTTTTTTCTGAAAATGCAAAGTCCTTATAACCCCACGACAATAAAATACATACCGCTAATAATAATTTTTAGGCTTATTTTCTCAAGCCTGTGGGCTGAATATAAAAACCCGATTTTTAAAAATTTAAATTTTATATAATTAAGGAAAATTTTTGTCAATGTTGATAATCCAAATTCTTGAGTCTTTCTAATGGTGCTTTTAAGGGGAAATACATTTTGAAACCCCTTTAAAATAAAAATATTGCTTTTTAAAATTTTTATCCTGCAAATCTTTTCTGGTTTTTATTGAATTTTTTTACAAAAAAACTTGAAAAACAAAAAGGGGCCCCAAAAGGCCCCAACTTTATCAAAGGGGGTTTTTTTTAAACCCACAACAAAAAAAAAACCCATTTGATGCCCGTGAGCCCCCTGAAGAACACCACTTTTAAAAAGGAGAAGTTTTTCCCCCAATACCCTTTATATTTTACCATCACCACCACAGGGTTCCCCCGGTTTCTGATATTTAGTACTGTATATTTTTTCATAAACCCGTATTTNCCTCTGCCTTCAAACTATCCATAGTAACTGCAACAAAGGGAGCAACAAACTCCTGAAATTTAAAAGAAATATATATAAAAAAGTGCATTTTTTTTATTAAAGTAATTATATATCAAAGTGAATTTTGGTTGATAATCATTATGAATTCAAAAGTCAGAAATCAAATAATGCTTAGTTTGAACTGCTGTTATGTTGTAAATGCCTGAATGAGCATTCCTCTTAGTTTATTTCCCAAAAACAATTTCTCTTAATAGGGTTTATTTCTTAATGACAATATAGTTTTGTTACCCTTCTGTACACCATGTAATTAGCAGTGCCCACAAAGGAAACTGAGCCAACATTGCAAAAGATAGACTAATTTCAATATTTTTTTTTTTGTGTGTGTTCTCTTGTCTCCTCAATGAAACTTTCCTTTTGGGATGTTTGACAACTTGTATTTAAGTTATCAGAGATTGTAATGGGGGCCCTGTAAGCTTGGTATGGAAGAGAAGGCTTCTGTTTTGGCCCTGGCAAGAGGAGAACATTGAATCACAATGGGCAGTGATTATATCAAGATTATTATTATAATAAAAAAGAAGCGCTAAGCCACAAGAGCTATACAGCGCTGCAGGATAGGGAAGGAAGCGAGAGTATTGGGCGGTAGAAGGGGGAGGGATGACCAGTAGGTTACAGAAAACAGCGGGGCAGGGGATAGAGGGCAGCAAGAGATTGAGGTAGAAAGGGCTGAAGGTATCATCAGAGTTTGTGAAGTCAGTCAGTTGTCAAAAAGTCAATGAGAGAGTCCGGATGAAAGGTGGGTCCATCAGCGAGAAGGGAAGGTAAAGAGAGAGCAGCGGAGCGAAGACGACGTTGGAGGTATATTCTGCGTACTCGTTGATAAAGTGGGCAGTCTAATAGAATGTGGCTAACCGATAATGGAACCTGACAATTCTCACAGAGAGGAACAGGGCGCCTCTCCATGAGATAACCATGAGTAAGACAAGTATGGCCAATGCGAAGATGGGAGAGAGTAGTCTCCCAATCTCGACACTGGTGACAAGAAGATGGCCAGTAACCTATACTCAGTTTAATAGATTAAAGTTTGTTACCGAGCAGAGTAGACCAACGTTGTTGCCAACGGGTGTGAAGGTGGGTAGCTATTGCAACAAAATAGTCCGCAAATGGAACACCTCTATATGAAACTGGTAGGTCATGTACTGCTGACTGCACAGCAGTGTCTGCCTGTTCATTGCCCTGTACGTCAACATGACCAGGGACCCAACAAAAAACAATCTTTATGCTTGGAAGAGATGCGGCGTAGCCAAAGTTGGATACGGAGGACTAAGGGGTGAGGTGTATCAAATTTCTGTATAGCCTGTAAAGCACTAAGGGAGTCTGAGACAACCACAAATGATGACACAGGCATAGATGCAATATGGATAAGTGCTGCAAGAATGGCATACAATTCAGCAGTAAAGATACTAGCCGAAGATAGTAAATGCCCTCATACAACGCTGTCCGGAAACACTGCTGCGAATCCTACGCCGTCAGAAGGCTTAGAGCCATCTGTGTACACTGCAATGGCATGAGAATGAGATTGGAAGTGGTCAAGAAAAAGAGAGCGGGAAGCTACTGTAGACAATTGGGCTTTCGAGCATGGGAGCGAGAAAGAACAGACTCGAACAGCTGGAACTACCCAGGGGGGTAGGGAAAAGGGAGATGCTACATGAACATAGAGAGGTGGTAATTGAAGAGAAGACAAGAGTGAATGTAGGCGAAGGGAGAAGGGATGGAGCAAAAAGGGGCGGCGAGCAAATAAAGAATGTCTAATAATATCGGTGACCATTCTATAAATGGAAGGACTGCGGAGATCATGAGAGCGTACATAGTAGCGAAGGCAATGGGCATCACGGCGATCGGATAAGGATGGAACGTTCACTTCTGCATAGAGGCTCTCAACAGGGGAAGAGTGAAAAGCACCAAGGCAAAAGCGTAATCCTTGGTGATGAATGGGATTAAGGCTAGAGAGTGTAGCAGGAGAGGCCGCTGAATAGATCTGGTCACTATAATCAAGTTTCGATAAAATGAGGGTGGAATGTAGGCGAAGCAGAGTTCGACGATCAGCTCCCCATGAAAGATGAGCAAGGGTTTTAAGAAGGTTCAGCCGGCTGTGACAAGTTGCCTTCAGAGAGGTAATGTGAGGTTTTCAGGATAACCTACGGTCAAAGAGGAGGCCTAGAAACCTGACTGGATCACGTTCAGGGATACGGGAGCCATAGTGGTACAAAGGATGATCGGAGACAACAGAGCGTCTAGTGAAAGTAAGTTGGTGAGTTTTGGTACTGGAAAATTTAAACCCATGTGTGGTGGCCCAATTGGAAACACGGTCGACCGCATGTTGGAGAGAAACTGTAATGAGGTGACAGTCAGTGCCTGCACATGCAATAGCAAAGTCATCAACATAGAGTGATGACCAAATATTGGATGGAATACTAGAGGCGAAATCATTTATAGAAGGGAGAAAAAGTGTTGTGCTCAGAACACCCCCCGGGGGACACCTTCAGTTGGGATAAAGTGGGGGGAGAGAAATTTTTAAACCCAAACGAAATGTCTGCAGCAAAAAAGTTTTAAGGAAAGGGATGGTAGATTGCCTCAAAGGCCTAAGGAGGGGGCTTGGGCCAAAATATTAACCTCCAATTTGTCAATGCCTTCTCAAGTCAAAAAATAGGCAATAACTGAGGGGTTTTATTCGCAAAGGCATTAGAACATACGTATCCAAGCGTAGTGGGGGGCTTGGTAGAAGGCCCTTACGAAAGCCTATTACGAGGGGGAGAGACTGTTGTAGTCTCAAAATTTACACTAAATGTCTTTTTCCCCAGGCTTTCCCTCATTTGAAAACTGCACGGGTAAAGCTGGGACAATAGTGGGGGGCTTCATGCCCGTAGTCCCCTTTTTGGGAAAGGGAAACAAGGGCAGATTTCCACAGCTGTGGAAGAACTCCCTGGACCAAAATAAAAGAAAAGGCATAATAGGACTGAAAGGGCTGACTGATGTAAATGTTGTAGCAATAATAAAATTTCGCGGGCCCACCCCGGGTGACGGAAAGCTGAGTGTGTTCCTCCTTCCTGAAGTGAAAAAGGGCCATTATACATGTACTGTTCTTTTTGGGGAAAAGAAAAGTCCAAGGGTGTAACTCTCGGCAGATTTTGAGGAAAAAACGAGGGGCATAATGGAGTCCCTGAAAAATCGACCGATGATTGCCAGTTTCATTGGCAAAATCTAAGGGTTTGCTAATTTAAAAACCGGCAACCCCCCAAAAAGGAGCTGATCGGGGGGAAAATTTACCACTCAGTTTTTGTCTTTTTTTTCCCGACTGCACCATAGAGGAAGCAGAGGTGAGGTGGGGACACAATCTCGCCAGCAAGTCGTTAACGTCAGAAAAGACCGGCAAGTGATCGCAAAGGGTTCTGCTTAAAATCAAGAAATCCTCCTGGGTTCTATTGTACCGGGACCTGCCCACGCACACATTTTAAAAGTCTGCACGAGCACAAGCAGGGGACCACCAAGGGACGCATTTTGAGAAGCTGCCCCAAGTTTTGGGGTATAGATAGAAGCTGCGGTTAAAACGGGGGCGAGAAAGGGGGTTTGAAGCTACAAAGGAGGACGAAAAAGGAACCCCACTAAAAAAAGTTAGTTTGAGTAAAGGTTTCCCAATTTTTCCTGACAAATTTCCCGCGTGGGGTTTCGAAGAGGGGTGAATATGATGGGAAGTAAAATGATTGGGGGGAAAAACGCTTCGTGTTTAAACCGGGGAACAACCAGGGGAAGTCAATGCGGGGGGAGGAAGAGCAAAGGAGATCGATGCAAAAGAGAGAGTACGAGTCGATTATCAAAATGGGTGGAGTACCTGTATTTAAAACGGAGGGGGGGGGAAACAAAAAAAGCCTTAAGAATGCCAGGGGAAACACAGTGAGACCCCCCAAGGAAATGCGGGCTTAAAAACGCCAAATAACAGAAGGGGGGTGGAAACGAAACAAGGAAGGCAATATCTGGGATAGATAATGCCCGAGAAGGAGAGAGATACAAAGAACAGTGTATACCACCTATGCAAGTGGATACGGGCTGCTGTGTAATGCAGCGAAGTACGAACAAATAGCTGATGGTATGGAATATCAGTGCGTAGAAGAAGGGCACTTTCATTAAAGGTCCCATCAGGAAAAGGATCTGAAGAATACAAAAAATTATAGCCTGAGATAGGATAGATAACGGCAGAGTGTAATTTTGGTTCCTGTAAGCAAACACCAACAGGGGAAAACTGGGACAGCAACATCTGAAGCTCACCCCGATTACCCCTGAGGCCGCGAATATTCCACTGTAAATAGGCCATGATTGGCAACAATAAAGATACCTGAAATCCGCAGGTAAGGGTACCTACGGACTAGAGGGGTTAGAAAAGTCCACGTGCGGTGGCAAAGGAAAACGTTCAAGTAGCGAAGGAACGGTGCGTTGTGAAGAAAGGAGTTGTGCAGATGGAGAAGAGGAAAGAGAAGGAACAGAGGGTGGATCAGTGTCCAGTGATGGTTTGGTCTCTGCAATATATTCAGAGATTGCTTCAAGTGTTTCGGAGTTCAGAGACGTCGTATGGGAGACAATATTGGAGATGGAAGGAGGAGGAGTTTGAGTCAAGATCGGAGCTGTAATGGACTGTACCAAGGTAGAGGGGGGTGAAAGGGTGGAGGGAACTGGAGAAGTGTGGAAGGGGACAGAAGAGGCAGAAACCTGGGAGGTGGCAGAAGAGGAAGAAACATGGGAGGGGACAGGGGAGGAAGGCACAGTACGAGGAGGAGGATGAACCTCCACACTTGTAACAGAGCCAGTGAAAGGGGAAGACTCAGGTACAGAGACCGGGAAGGTAAAATGTGGAGGTGGAAAAGAGAAGGAGGGGTTAAAGGAGATTTTTTGGGCCTCTGAGAAGTAGAGGACGATTGGGAGGAGGTGTCATACGAGGTCTTGTCGATACCAGGGTTTGTGAGGGAGGACACGAAGAAGTGAGGACAGACTGAGGAGTTGAAG